CAGTGAGACCTGTCTCTGAATAAAATACCAACTAGGGCTGGGAATGTAGCTCAGTCTTGGATGCCTCTCAGTTCAATCCTTGGTACCTGCCCCCACAGGGGGGAAAAAAAAACTGTAGTTTTTGAGGAGGATAGAGTTTCAGGCAGAGGGAATAATAATTTCAAATGTCCAAATGCTGGGACATTCCCATCTTGAAGGAAGAGCAAGCAATGAGCAGGCAAGAAGAGTGATTAGTAAGGGAGACAGTCAAAGTGGAGATTGGTCATCAGTCCCTGTGCTTAAGCCAGGGAAAGCCAACTTTTTATGTGAAGAGGCAGACAGTAAATATTTTCCACTTTGTGAGCCATTCAGTCTTTCTTGCCACTATTCATCTCTGCTGCTGTAGTGTGAAAGCAGTCACAGTGAATCCATAAGTGGACATGACTGTGTCTAATAAAACTTTATTTACAAAAAAAAGAGAAAAAAAAACTATTACAAGCCAGTGCAGTGATTTTGTGGTGCTTTAACCCAACTGCAACGGAGATACTGTTAACAGGGGCTCACCTGATGCTTCGACTATATCCCTTGTCCCTTGTCCCTTTGAAACTTACACATTTTTTTCTCTTTTTCCCAAACTTCTCCCTAACCTTCTCCTTCCTGATCTTCTCTTCTCAGATCTTCTTTTCACTGATCTTCTCCTTCCTGATCTCTCCTCCCTAATCTCATTTTCTCTAAATCATCTCTAAAAAAGCCCCTGGTCCTGCTGATGGGCAGAGTCACAGCCTCTGAGACAGGAGTCTCCAGTGTTTCTCTTTGGCTAGGAGAGCAGTAAACTGTCTTTTTCCTTTTTCTCAAAACCCTGTCATTGCTATTGGATTGGCATCCAGGACAAGGCCTTCGGCAACAATACTACTAGATAGAGGCTGCAGAGCGACCCAGGAGTCCAGAATGCTTTTTACACTTTTAAAAGATCTAACACACACACACACACACACACACACACACACACACACACACACACTCCGCACAGAACACTGGACAGAAACTGTGTGTAGCCATAAAGCCTAAAATATTTGCTGCCTGGCTTTTTACAGAAAATGTTTGCTAACTTCGGCACTAGATTCTCAAAAACAAATCGGACAATTTTTTTCTTTATTCTTTGAAATAAATTCTCTAGGAAAGGGATATCAAGGATCCCCTTGATTGACTCGAACAAAACAAAACTTGATCCCATCTGTTTTGTTGATAACACTTACCAACTTTTTATAAAAATAATCCCTTTCTTAAAGAAGTTATTTCATAGAGTTTCACATTCTAACCACATTCTAGGTGCCAGTAACCACATGCAGCTAATGGCTATCATATGGAACTTACCTACTTCTAAAAGCACTAATAATGTGCCATTCACATTCCACTCTGCCATGATGTGTAATTGATTTCCGTGTGGTAGGAGGCAGCATATGTAAACAAGGAAACTAAGTACTTTATAAAATCTGAGGGAGATTTTTCAGACCACAGAGCCAATCGGGCTTTCTTAGGAACGAAAACAGCTTGATCAGACTAAGACTTTATAAATGTCTCTCATTTCTGTATATTCTCTTTTATTGCATGAGGATTTGGGGACATGTCTGCCAGTTGTTCTAAGGTCACATCTTTCCTACTTCCAACAGATGAGAGAAGATAGTTGGACTTCTCTTTAGAAATATTCCAGCTCAGGTTATATTCCAATGTATTGAAGTCAGAGAGATGGATATTTTTGGCCAAGCCTAGATTCTATGCCCATATTTATAACCATGGAACAGAAATTGTTCCCACAAAATGGTAGCTACCACAGTATCCCTTGTCCACTTCATCCATGAGTTGCTTTTAGGGAACTAGAACTACTCCTTAAGCACTAAGTAAGTATAGGTGAATAGTCTCTTAATTTGACAGGAATGTTTAAAATAAAGCCAAAAGCAGGAGTAAGAACATACATTTACTTGCTTTGAATCCATTTTTATGGTAGATACTTGAAAACCATCCAAATTCTTAGTTTACAAGCTTAGAATCGATGATTACAAGGGCTTGCTAACATTAACTACAATTCAACATTTTCTTTGTAACTTGCATTTTTTTTTTCAAATTTCTGGGTGTTTAGAAGAGACAGGATGGCAGGATGATGTCTTTGATAGCTATGAACAGGTTTGAAGAAATTTTGAGTGTGACTTTCTGGAATGATCACACAGTTTTTTCTGGCCTTAGTCTACCTTAAACAATTTTCTTCACAAATATTTTTTAAATAATGCAAAAAATGGTATTTAATACTGAAGGAACATTTTTCCTCAAATTTATCTAACTTCATGTCCGAGGGAGCCTTAGTCTCAATTTATTAGGCTCATCATTTATAACAAAATTTCAAATTGAAGCGTCGCTCTGTGTTAGAAACAGAAGGGTTCCCCCAGGGTCTCTTAAACTCAATTTAAGTTCCACTTAAATTTCTATTTCTTCAGGGCTACTATGTTCCCTTTTTGGGGGGGAATAAAAGCCTTTCTTACCCCCCCCTTAGGATCATTAATCAAGAGAATTGTGTAAGTGGGAAGAAGAATAAGGAGCTGGAGGAGAAGTGGAAGGAGGAGTATCTTTCTTTAGTTTCTGTGTTTAGGAGTTGACATGATTCAATAAGAGAAACTTCCCACTTTTATTTTTTGGAGGACATACAGCTGAGAAAAAGTATTAATTTTGACTTTTATTACCCTGACTTGGCATATCCAAAGCAAATTATGTATACTTCAGATAGATTAAAAAAAGGATTATGCAGCCCCAATTATTTGCATGGTGAAACACTGCTGTGGGGTAGTTTTCTCAGGTGCTTACCTAACAGAGCAGGGCTCTGGGATTCCACAGTACTTTTCCAGCAGCTATGTCTTTCTGGTATTATCCTGGCACCCCTCTGCCCACTCCTACCCCACCCAACCTTCCTCTCACACACAGGTTTTTTGTTTATTGTTTTGGTTCAGAAGTTCAGAAACATTTAATGGCGTGTATAAATCTAACTCCAAGATAATGACGTCTAATGCTTCTTGTTAAATTCAAAACCACATACAACCCTAGCCAAAAATAAGAACTAGGATTTCTTTTCTTTTTGTATTTGTTTTTTGTAGACATTTGGTTGGGAAAGTCAGAAATTTAAAAGTGTTTGCCTTTTGGACTTTTTAAATAGAAGCATTTTAATCTTAGCTTACAAGTCTAATACACTTTATTTTTATTACTATAATCTTTTAACAATTCATTTTGATACATAAAGTTATACATATTAATTGGGTACCACATAATATTTCAATCCACCTGAACACTGTGAAATGTTTAAGTTAGTTTAAACATATTTATCCTTTCAAACATGTATCATTTCTATATGGTAAAAACTTACAAAATTTTAACTTTTTAAAATGTACAGTCCCTTATTGCTATTTATAGTTATCCTGCTCTGCAGTAGTACACCAGACTTTGCTTCTGTTTGACTGTAGGTAACTTTGCACTCATTAATTTTAATACATTTTAAAATTATTATCAACAAGGCTGGGGTTGTAGCTCAGCAGTAGTGCACTTGCCTGGCATGTGTAAGGCACTGGGTTTGATCTTAGCACCACATACAAATAAATAAAGCTATTGTGTGTCCATCTCCAACTAAAAAAATAAAAAATAATCATAACAATCCACACATCCAAAAAAAAATAGATACCATATCATTACTTTCATCATCTATTGATATCATTACCTTCATTGACTATTATTTGTATCTTGCTTTTCAGGGTTTTGCTCTATGCAATGCTTTTAGGTAATCATAACTATTGGTTAATTTTGAAAGTAGAAATTTTTTGTTAACTTGAAATGTTGCTGAAACTTCAGTCCTTGTTCCCAATACTAATCCAATTGTGAGACATGGTTTTGAGAAAAAGGAAAAAGAAGTTTTATTGCTTTGCTAGCAAAGGAGAAACACAGGGGACTTCTGTCCCCAAGGCTGTGATTCAGCCCATCAGCTTCTTGGGGGCTATAAAAGAGGTGATCCAAAGATTACATTCCATGCATTGTCTGTTGGAGTTTTAATTCACTTGTTAATTTGGAATAATAATTTCTGAGATCTTCTGATACCATCCCCAAAGTCTGGATTACTTTGTTCCTATGGTGGGTGTGTGCTCAAGGACATAACTCTGCCTAGGATGGGAACAATGAGGTTATATTCAAAGCATGGACACGGTCATGGAAGGAACAACATGCAAATGAAAATCTGTTATCTTCTACTTACTTTAGGATATCACCTAGTGCTGATGAGAATCTGAAGTCACTGTGATTTTTAAATTTGTGACACTCAGATGATAATTTTAAATAGTGCTTTAGTATGAGGTGTAAGAAATAAAATAATTTTGTCTTTTAATGTTGGTTAAGATTTACACTTGTAATGCATGTACAGGCAGAATTTACACAGTGTAGACTCTTCTAACTCTGTGAATACATAGAATTAATTGTGTTGCTAGGATACACAAAATAAAAAAAATAAAATCAGTATGATATATATTATGAAATCTAAATTTTGTTTCTAGAAACAATGCAGCTTCTAGGTGCTTTCGATTAACAAGTTGTGTGTGAAAAATGTTTTATACGTGAGTTAGAGAAAAAAAAAACTCTTTAAAACTAAGTCATCATTTCCTGTTTCATTTTTCATTTTCTTTTGGCTGGCAGGGCTTTCCTCTCTCAACAGGAGTTACTTAAAGTCTGTGAGAAGATCTGTTCGGAGTGGACTTCTTCTGGATTGGTTAAGATCTCTTTTAAGTGTGTGCTTTGTTCTCGGAAAAGCTTAGGTCGGTGAAGCAACATGCTGCTACTGTTTGAAAAAAAAAAAAAAAGAGCTGAGTAATGCTGGAGGCTTCTTCTCCGGTGGCTGATGCAAACCTGGGGAATTTGCATCATCATGTAGCTGGAGTAAATTGGTGTGACAGGAGGGAGCTTAAATACAAGCCCAGGAGGAAGCTGAGCTGCTTCGCTAGGGTAGGGCGGCGGAGCCGGGCGGCAGCCACGGTGCTGGGACCAGGAGCAGGGACCGAGAGCCCCGGGAACACACAGGTGCCCGAGAGTCATTCGAGCGCTTTGAAGGATAAAATAACACCTTTGAGTTTTTTCACCTGTGAACACAATAGCGCTGAGACACTCTGAAAGCAAAGAGCAGGAGACCGATCAGTCACCCCCAAAGAGACGCTAAAAGTTTTGCTTTTTCTTCCCCTGTTTGATTTTTGCCCCGTGTGTCACCACTATGGTCAGGAAGCCCGTGGTGGCCACTATCTCCAAAGGAGGCTACCTGCAGGGAAATGGGAAGGGGGCGCTGCCCTCCGCGGGGGGCAGCGAGCCCGCGGAGCCGGAGAAAGTGGTGCTCAAGAAGAAGATCACCTTGCTGAGGGGCATCTCCATCATCACGGGCACCATCATCGGAGCCGGGATCTTCATCTCCCCCAAGGGCGTGCTGCAGAACACGGGCAGCGTGGGACTGTCGCTCATCATCTGGACCGCCTGTGGGGTCCTGTCCCTTTTTGGTGAGTGCACCTCCTTCTCTGAGACGCGTGTGGACGTGGGGCTGGAAAGTTTTGGTCTCCGGGAAAAGCGAAAGATAGTTATCGAAGAGTAAATGAATGGCAAGAGCTACCTGGATTTTTTTCTTTTTCCCCCTCTTGTCTGGGTGTGTGAACTAGGCACACACAGTGCTCCTGGTTGGCGTGATCCTGAATGCTCTCAGGTTGCTTCCTGCAGGCTATCCTCTTCTCTTTCTGACCCAAACAGACTCTTTTCTGACTTTCCCTGTGCTGAGGAAAGCAAAAAGTTAACTTTGATGACCCAGAAAATAAATACACGCGGACTCTCTGTGCCGGGCCGTGGTGCTTGGCTGGGTCTGTTGGGGGCGTTCTGGCAGCTGGGTGGCTACAAGAAACACCTGTGAGGTGACACCTGGCGCGGCTTTTCAGAGGCAGGACTCCGTGTTCACAGAAGTCTTACTGACTTTTTATTAGCAGAACAAACGCGTGGCAGTCTTCCTTCTGAATTTTTTTTAGGTCCATGTGCTTGTCAGTTCCAAACTTTCAAATACCTGGTCGTGGAAAGATGTGTGATGGACAGAACTCAATTCAATCACAAATCGAGAATATTGCAACGGCCTCAACACATTTCAAGGCATTTAAAAAAAAAATTCATAACATCTCTAAACACTTGAAATATAAGTTTTAAAACTGCAGTTGGATGTTAGTTTTCTGTACTTGCCAACATCTGTTTTTCTCATCTGATTTATTTCACTTGGTCTTCAGGGACATAGATAATTGGTCCACCTGTTCACTGAATTGATCTGAAGAGAACTGGTCCAAGAAGTATAATTATTATTATTATTTTCAAAATATATTTCTCTTATATTGATTTGAGAATTAAAATTAAAGAGAAAATAAATGCCTTCTCATCGGGTGAGCGAATTACTACAAAGCTACCTGAATTAATTACAAAGGTGACAAAAGCTGGCGAATTGTTAAAAAAAAATGACTTATGCTATGGGGTAGATGTCTAAGATATATTTGCTCTCTTTGGAACATACTGTGCTTAGATTTCAAAAGATACTACAGTTTATAGTTACTAACTCTTTGTTCTAACACTAAGACCAAGTGCTTAACTCTTGGTTGGTCCTCTGTGTACCAATCCATTCATTCCTTCTGCTCAGGTCCTGTGATGGCTGGGGCAGTCATCTAGAAGACTCAGGTTTCCAATTTTAGGAAGAAGGTGTTTTAAATAAAGTCTGTTAAAGCAAAGTCTTAGTATAGAAATATCCTTAGAGGAATTATTTTTGTTGGTCTTAATAGTTTGTGGTATTATTTATGTGAATAAATTGTACTTCTTAAACCATTTATTTCATCACAGTTGTATATCATTATTTTCCCATTATTACTTTTCATCCTTGCCAAATACTTTGGAGTCATATGATGATGAAAAACCCTGATAGAATCCTTAGCTACTATTAATATTAAATGGTTCTGGCAAATGCAGTGCATAGGTAAACAAAGAGAAACCCAACTGTGGATCATCTTTAACATGACTTTGTGCACCCCCAGCCTTTGCTCTTTCTATAGCACCTGGGGTATTTAGAATAAACCAATATGTAATCAGAATGACAACCCTCTCCTGGTCTTTGCAAACTCATGCACTTGCAGTCCCCACTACATGACTCAGTTTTTGCATGCAATAAAAGTTTATTCATATGTAATAAAAAAAAACTGAGTACTAAACTGGTAAAAGGGATGTTGACTTTTATGGTGAAAATATGCTGACTCATAATATCTTGTGCAGAAGCTTAAAAAAAAAAAACTCTAAGGGGAGTGTAGCATAGCTAAGGTTACACTGGACCTGATATTTTTGATTAGTAATTGCAGGAAGTGTGCTCTTGTGTTAATCAACTTGTTCATATTTGCATTGCATTTTCCACTTAAACTATTAGTATCTCTCAGGAATGCCTCCCTAATAGGAAGCAAAGCAAAACTAGGACTAAGAGTCAAGAATTGGTAGGTATAAGGTTGGGGCTGGGGCTCAGCAGTAGTGCACTTGCCTGTCACGTGTGAGGCACTGGGTTTGATGCTCAACACTACATATAAATAAAATAAAGATATATCAACAACTAAAAAAAGAAAAAAATAATTCGTAGGTATATAGATGGTCTCCTACTTACAATGGTTTAACTTATTATTTTTAACCTTACAATAGTGTATAATAATAATAAATTTTTTTTAGATGATTTTGCCCAACTGTAGGCAAATGTAAGTATCCTGATCACCTTTAAGGTAAGCTAGTCAAAGCTATGGTGTTCAGTATTTTCAACTTAAGATGGGTTTGGGGATATAACCCTCTGCAAGTGAAGAAGCATCTGTATTTGATTTACAACTTTTTTTTTTTTTTAAAGCCAAGGGCAAAAAAAGGAATTTTTTTTTTTTTTTTAAATCCTGTTTTGAACCTTTTTCATCTGGGCAAAATGGTTATGGAACTTGAGACCTTTAAATGAAAATCTCATTTCCCCAGAATTCAATTTAAACCTAGGGCAACCATGCTGGAGTTTCAGCAAAGCATAGCAAGGTCCAGGTATTGATTCTCTGACAATAAATTCCGAGGTACTTAAGGCTGTTTCCAATAACATTTTATATTGGATGCTTTTCTAGACTGCTGACAAACATGGTAGCTTTTCCCAATAGAAGGTAAATTGCAGCTGGTATAATTAGTTATAAATAGACAACATCTATCAGTGATCCCTGAATATTCATCTGCAGACTAGTTATGTAAGAATGATCCATGGGAATTTTTGAATCCCTCTTTTGGTGAGTCTGGACTCTCTTGCTTAGAGGCTACATCTAGAGTATCATCCTATAGTCTGCTTTTCATTTGATTGTTTTTGCATTAAAAAAAGAATTTCCACAAGAGTTTTTGGACTGATGAGCATTAGAAATCGTTTGGAATGGAAATACTGTATTAAAGAGAAGGATCAGATTAGGGGTGATTGGCACATGTTTCATAACTACCTCTGAACAAAGAAAAATTTATTATAAATTTCATTGTTTTAAGGATGTGTAGCACACAATCTACAGACTACAATAAAATTTATAATACTCTTTACTGTAAATTCCAAAAAAAAAAAGAATTTCCCTGATTCTGGTAATGTGAGGTTCAGGAATCAGATAAGTGATACTAAGTTTTCACTGAAGATCCAAATTATATTTATGTTGGACAGGTCTGTATGAAGTACTTCTGATAAGTGGTAACTTTCTGCATGAATAGCTTCTGAAGACGCTCAGGCAAACTTAGCAGTATAGATAGAACTTTTCACTTGACATTAAGATCTATTTTTCATTTTCTTGATAATTAGTTGCTGAAATTGATAAGTATAGCGGTATTTCACGTGTGGTTTGCTGTGTTTCAGGCCCAGTGCTCTCTCTGGCAACCATTGTCACATACACACAGCATTCTTGGGAGGTAAAAATGGAGATTTCCATTCCATAGGGAATGAAACTGAGCCTTGGGGAAGTTACATAACTTGCCCAATTCCATGGGAGTTGTATTACTAAATGTTACTATGTAGTTTGTACTTACTTTCACCTACATTAATGTACATGACAGCATCTCTTTTTTAAGAAAGTATACATACTTTCAACCATCCAGAGTGTACGCTTCAGAAATGCCCAGGATGACCTTTCCCACAAACAGAATACCGCAGAATTTGTTGTGTTGACAAACTATATCATGCAAATTAAATGAAGTCTTGCAAGGGTTATAGTCCACATTTTGATGAAGAACAGATAACTCTTACTTACATTAATTTGCCACAGAAACATCATTTGTTAAAAGAGCTCTCCACATAATGAGGTCAGTTTGGGATAATTACTTGTCTTATATGCGGTTATGCTTTTCAAAAAAACAGGTCAGTACTACTGACATCTATCTTCTCTTTTTACTTTTGCTCCCAGGTTTTTTCAACTCCAGATTCTGAATCATATGATATTGTTTAGAAGTTCATGATTACTATTTTAAGTAAAATGACATTGTGCAAATAGAATGAAGTAGGTCTCCAATGTGAGGAAGTTCCAAGAGGAACTTGCTAAGTCTCAGCAATTAGATGACGTCATTTCAGACTCAAGTAGTTACTTTGCACGCAACATTAGCGTCAGTAAGAATTCTACCACTAGGTGGCCTGATTATGTATTAAATTTGTACCTTGTTATTATAACCGTTTCACAGGAGCCTTGTCCTATGCTGAATTGGGAACAAGCATAAAGAAATCTGGAGGTCATTATACATATATTCTGGAAGTGTTTGGCCCATTACTAGCTTTTGTGCGAGTCTGGGTGGAACTGCTCATAATACGGTAAGAACATAAGAAAAAAACAAGGAAAAATAAACCTTGGTCATCCTATTCTTCTGAGTGACTTGATTGTTTTTAACTCATCAGAAATATGTATTTCATGTGCCTATGTTGTAAATGTGTATACTCAGCAGAGAACCTGTGATACATTACCTTTCTGGATTAACATTGTTAGTGTACTTCTATCATTGGCAGTGGTTCAACAACAACACCAGACTTTTAAAGTACTGCTTACCTTTAATCTTTGATTATTCTCTTTTACTTTTCTAGGATAGATGCTTATTTAAAAAGATCTGAAGCATCAAAATCCATCTTGATAAGTCTTACCTTTTGATTGACCAGGCACAATCAAATAGGACAGGAATTGGAATTGTAGATTATGACATGAAGTTATTTAACTTTACTCTATTTTTATGACTAAGAAACATCTGTGCCTGAAAACAGTATCAGCAAATCTTATTCTTTAAAAAATTAAGTTTACATACCATAAATGACTCACTTCCTCACATAAACAGACCAGTGAACTGTAGTTGCGAAAATCTTTTGATTTTATTGTTGTAGGAATGTGTTCCCCTTCCTGATCTTCTTGGCACCAAATAATGCTAAGTCACTCTGAATAGCAGGTTTCCTTCAGCTTTGTGGGAGACTTATGATGTCATAAGAGTGTCACAGTTCCTTAAAGCTACTGCCTCATAGGATGTGACTTGCACTTTCTGATTAAAAAGCTTAATAGAAATAAGGAGGGAGACTTGCTCTTACTGTATACTTATCAAACATACATAGCTGAGAGCTAATAGGAGCTTTTATTCTGTCATTTACAGTAAGTGGCAAATGCAGAGCTAATGAATACCCATTAACACTAATCATGATCTTTATGGTGTTAGGAGTCTCTTTTCAAACAAAGGGCTTCAGAGTAGTACAAACTTCAATGGCATGTCAGTCTATTCTCATTGCAAACATTTCTGCATTACTTAAAACTTCTTATAATAAAATAATGATAAAGGAGTATTTTATTTCTTTTCTCAGGTCCCCTTACCTGGGATGTACTTTCTGTTCCTTTCTGATTATCTGAGGCATACACTCTTCCAGGGCCAACTTATGTCTTATCTTTTTCATAGATAATTGCATGTTTTATTCTAGTGGACAGTGTCTATTTCATCTCTTAAATCTTCTGAAAGATATAGTCTCTGCTTCTCACCTAACAATGAACTCAGCACCTTGTATTTTTTGACTCAGTATTTCAGGTGACTGTGTTCTGTTTCCCTGTATAAATTGCAAACGTTTCAAAAATATAAACCCAGGTTTTAACACTTTTTGTAGCTCTTTTTTTCCCCCTTCTTGTAACTCTTATACTACTTATATGAGTGCCCTGTATATACTGGATATAAATTGATACCTTAGATTCCTGTCCCTCTTCAGCATGCATTTGCTGTGTAACTTTGGGTAATTGCTTGGTATTCTTATGAGCATGATCATTCCATTTGCAGTTGCACAGATATGGTGCTCATTCATTAATTTATTCATTTCACAAACTGCTACCGAATGGTGAATGGCAAGATAAAGATATCTAAATTGGAATGAGTCACAATTCCTACTCTCAAATAACTGATAAACAGATGCTGTTTTAATTTTGAAAAAACTGCTTTACAGTGTGTGTGTGTGTGTACAGAGAAAATAACCTAGATAAATTCTAGGAGCTTTTCAATGTGTGTGTGTGTGTGTGTGTGTGTGTGTACCAAGATATATATAGGTTAGTCATACAGGACTCCTATCAATGGAGTGATCTGTCAAATAGGCAGAAAACAAATGACTTGAGGAGACACAAGATACCTAAACAATTAGTTGTTCTTTTCTTTTACTAATACCCATTATACCAATATATTTCTTATTAAAATTATACATTAAGTTACCATTGCCAGAAATAATCTGTAAAACACATTCAAGGAAAGAAAAATCACCCAACAGTACATAGCATGGCTCATTAAACTGAACTCAGTCCTTCACAATATACTCAATATGTATTGTTCCTACTCCATGGCACACATTGCATTAAACAATGGGGGAAGAGTGGTTATTCAGGTAGAATAACTTTGTGCCCATAGAATTCAGAGTCCAGTGGGGGAATGGTTATCTATCAGGTAATCAAATAAGTGAATGATAAGAAGATATGGAAGAGAAATCAGGATTCAGTAAGAGTGTACTCTGGGGGGGCCTGACTCAGACAAAGGGTTGGAGAAGCTTCTCTGAACCAAGAACAAGTAAACCAAGATCTGGGCTGGGGACGTCCCTCAGTGATGGAGTACTTGCCGAGCATGTACAAGGTCTTGGGTTTGATTCCCAGTACTGCAGATAAAAAGAAACCAAAATCTGAAGTATAAAATATGGCCAGCGAGTTGAAGAGGCTCCAGGCAGAAGAAAAGAGATTTGGATCTCTCTGGTGGGAGGGAGCTGAATGAAGCCTTGAATACAATACGAAGCATTTCCATGTATCCACAGCACATTTTGAAAGTGCTAAAATGACATGATCAGGTTTTAATTTGCACATTAAAATTTTTAATAAATGATGAAGAACAGGAAAAATAGTGTCATTTGGAGGAAAGAGGAGAGGGTCTCTAGGAAAAGAAGGAAATCATGAAATTTATGGTGCTATCTGGCACCCAAGTCAAGGTTGGAAACACAGAATGGTGGTGGGTTTTCTGATAATCCGGATCCGGCCTGGGCATTAGGTGACCAGAAGAAAGAGAAGCTGAAGGGGAAATTAGACAATGCAAGTGTTTGGAAAGAATATGCATTCATGTATAAATAGGAGTACAATGGGAAAGTGTGTGTGATTTTCTCTTACAAATATTTGAAGAATTAAACTAGAATAGTTTATTATCTGTGTTGCTATATACCATTCTGTGTTTCCAACCTTGACTTGGGAACCGGATAGCACCATAAATTTCATGATTTCCTTCTTTTCTTTGAGACCTTTCTCTCTTTGTATGGAATTAAGAACAATCGCTTTGTTTTGAGGTTTTGTACTAGAAAGACAAAAAAAAAAATACAATGCTAAGTATTTAGGCATTAATTTGCATTAATTTGCAAGGAACACTTATGAATGCTGATTTTTTTTATGTTGAATTTCATGTTCCTTCTTCTCACTATACTCCACTCCATTAGATCTATGCCATTAACAAATTCATACCATAGCTTGAGTTTTATTACAGACTTAAAAGAGAATGAAGACCAGTTCTTATAAGGAAAGCCCAGTCAAGGTCTCATATAATAACTTAAATTTTTATTTTTATTTGATTTTTTTAAACTTGTATTTATTTATTTATTTTTTTGGTAGTTGTAGATGCACAGAATGCCTTTATTTTATTTATTTTTGTGTGCTGCAAAGGATCGAACCCAGTGCCTCACACATGCTAGGCAAGCACTCTGCCAATGAGCTACAGCCCCAGCCCTAAAGTAAATGTTTAAAGAAAAGTATCAAATGTTGGGAGAGCAGGGACAAAGTTGATAGTTCCCAGCCTTGCTCTCAAGGTTGTTTCAGAATAGCCACCAATGTTACAGGCACTGTGACATTTGGAATGCCTAAGTAAACCTAATGAAATATGGAATTCTTAAATTACAGTCTTTCATTTTAAACACATTCTCTAAGTAGTAACACCTTCAGATAGAAAACTTTATCTGAAAATGCTGTTCATTTTTTTTTTCCCTATAGTTAACCTAAATATATAAAACTCTGTTTAGCCCTGCAGCTACAGCTGTGATATCCCTGGCATTTGGACGCTACATCCTGGAACCGTTTTTTATTCAGTGTGAAATTCCTGAACTGGCAATCAAGCTCATTACGGCTGTGGGTATAAGTGAGTATCACAGGTATAAACATGGGAGAGAAGAAAAGGCTTGTGCACAAAGTCTCTTTAGACGTTTTGTCTAGTGGCACTGTTCCCCAAATGATCTTCTTGTTTTGCTTACTGTTCCAAATATGTGCCGGAAAACAGAAAAAAGAATGCACATTTGGAGTGGTCTCTGCTATTACCTTCTGTGTCAGTTTGGCATTGGGTTGATATATATGATGGCCAATCTTTCAAAATAGACAAACAAAAATCACTTTGACAGTAAAATATTTAGTAGGTTGTACCTAAAAAGAGATTAAAGGAAGAAAACCCAATTATTTTGTAGATCTTTGTGAGTTGGAAATCATTCTACCTCCATGAAATGTTGGATCCTAACTCATCCATGATCATGGAGTTATGTTTCTATGTTGGGTGTGTCTGCTGCAGACGGTTTACAGTGTTAGAGGCTGCCATCTCAGTGTCATAGTTTTTGATGCCTATTATTGGCCATGGTAAGAATTTTCTTTAAAGATTTTATAATTACTAGCACAATAGGAGATTTCTTTACAAGCTTCAAATTAGGAAGTTACTCATTTTTTTTTTTAATCAGTGTGAATAGATTTTAGAAACTGAAAAAAAAGAGCAAGAGTCTCATGAACAAAATTACCTAGGTGATAATGAAATCAAATCTGACTCTAACATCCTATCAGATTCCAAATACCAAATCCTTGAATGTCATGGGAGAGGATAACTTAATTCTTAATCATTTTGTTGTTTTTAAGAATCAATTCGATTTAAATTTTAACAACTCAGAAATAGAGAGCTATATATGAATAACCGAATTTCAAACTCATGGAAAAATGGTTAGGTGGTTGCTCTAAGGTGCTTCGACAGAACAATAAAAAGAACAGTGCATTTTTGCAGGAAAACAGTGCATAATTTGCAGGAGAGCATTAGGAATTTCATATAGAAATGTCTCAGATGCTAGGTATATATATGTCTCTGAATTTAATAGACTCATAGTGCATTTCCTAATTTGTCTTGCAAACATGTACACAGCTCTATTCTTCTGTGAGAACTCTGAAAAGAAGAGAAAATTGCTCCAAGTTGACATTTTTCTCATTCTGGGGTGGTAATGGTGTACCTACTTAATCATTGTGCCTTTAATAAACTCTACAAATACGAAGGCACGTCACTGTACCATTCTTAACTCCGTATTCTCAGTAAATCATGCCAGTGTTATAAGGTGTTGTGCAGATTAAGCAACAATGAATGAGACAATATATGTGAAGTGTTTGGGTAACGCTTGCAATTTACTAAGAACACAATACAAATGGTAGCTATTTATTTATTTATTTTTTAAGTCATTGGAACTTCCATGAGATTAGGGACTTTAACATGGTTGTATTTCCAGCCCCTCACAGAACTCCCAGCATGCTGTTTGTGTTCAATAATTCTCCACTCCTGATTGATTTTTATAAGACGAGGTCTAAGAATTGTTTCTCTAGTAGAAAGGTCTATAGTCTGTATACTTGTTAACTCTGGAAGGTTGCATAGCTTCAATTACCTCAAGCAGTAGGGGAATTGCTAGTAAAATGAAATAGTTTGCTTGATAAGATGTTCAGATCTAACACCATGAGATTCGGTGGGACGAACCATCTAAACATAGTGGCTCACCAGAACAAACAACCTGGAAGTGGAACTTAAATGTCACCATTTCTTAGTAATGTGATCTTGGGCTAATTATTAAACTTCTTTAAGCTTCAGTTTTATTTGTTGGTGAAAGGCCTGTGAAAAGATAATTTATCTTGAATGATTGTAGGAAAATGAAATTAAGTTAGATTTTTAAGACTTTGAACAGAGTGCTTTGCCCACAGGAGATTCTTGATAAAGCTGGTATTCGACTAAGAGATTGGACTAACAGCCATTTTTATGCCCACAATATTCTTGTCCCCTAAATGTCTAAGACAGAATCATATCACAGTTAACATATGAAAATTGAGAAGAGAAAGAGTAGTATTTTTGAGAGCTATGTAAATTAGTAATCAAAGTTATTAAAAGCTACAAACAGAAGTCTTTAATCATAACCTATGTGTCTGTTTACAAATCTACAAATTTTGGCTGCTTTGGGCATGAAATTAGATGGTTAGTGATGATATATTTCTAGTTTTGTAAACTTAGATGACTTTCTTTTTTCTTTTTGTGGTGCTGGGGATCAAACTCAGGGCCTTGTGCATGCAAGACAAACACTCTACCCATTAAGCTATATCCCCAGCCCCTAGATAACTCTTCTATTTATCTAAGTTCCATTAAACTTTTTAAAGGGGAAATTTGTATTTTGGGAGATCAAATGGAAATTGGTTTTTTTTTTGTTTGTTTTTTGTTTTTTGTTTTTTTTTTTTAAGTAAAGCAATTAGGAAAAAGGGTAACCATGTGGGTTTTAGAAAACATTCTATAGTAGAGTTTGGTGATAGACTAGTTAGCAAAAAACCTGAGTAACTCTTGGATAAATTTAGACACATCCTTCTATTTTTGCCACTTGTTATAATACTAGCTTTTGAAATATTTTGTAAGATAAGCCTTTGTAAGCTTGAGCTTCTGACAAGGCAATGTGTTCCAACACCAGAGCACAAAAAGGGAAAACAGAAGGAATATTCCTAGACTCAGCAGGAAGTAATTTAAATCAATGGGCTAATTGGGTAAGTCAAACTGTCTTTAAGAAGAATTTGTTAATGGAGCAACAGGGGGTTAGATGGAAATAGAGAAAGAGAAATTTACCTGGGGGCAAATCTCTGCACCCTTTATTTTTCAAAGTGAACTATTGGTGGTTTTCTGTCTGTTAGGGGTGGGAGGATACTGAGATGTAGAAAATAGTTTAATTGTATGAATTCTCCTTGAGGAAAAGAAGGAGTTTAAAATCTCTAGTTAAAGATAGAAAAAGGTCAATCCTGAAGGGTCTTGTTATATCATAGTTAGAGTTTCAAATTTTGTGAAATATTAACCAACCATTGGAGAAATGATAATGGAATGCGTGTGGGGAGCTAACTGAATGCTAATTTAAGCTCATTTTAAAAAAGTATCCTATGTCACTTCTGTCAGATCAATAAAGATGGAAAGTTTTGGCTTATCTAAAATTCTGTCCTTTCTGGTAAACATGTCAGGCACATGTAAGTTTCACTGGAAAATCCCATTTGTTCACATTTAGTGGCTCTCTGATAACCCAATATGACATTACCCCATTTACCTTCCACAGAACACCATTTCTTTTCACTGCTCTTGTTGGTCTAATGAGCACTGAAGTATGTTCAATAGCTAAATCATTGAGTCTCCTAAAACTAGGCCCCATGGAAGTATACACTTGAATGGCAAAGCATTATCATAAAAAAACTTTTTAAGATGTGAGATCTAGTCCCAGATCTATCCCTAACAACCCTCTCCGGGTGTCTCAATTCCTTTGCCAGTTTATTTTATATAGATGAGTTAAGAACTGCATTCCCTTCTCAGATCTTGTGGGAGATATTAGGAGGAGAAAACAAAATAACATTTATATTGCATTGTGGAAAACAGACAGTTCTGCAAATGTATAGCCTTGTTTTCCTGACATCCTTAAATTGTATGACAAAAAGATTCCAGAACTAGTTGTGTGTCAGCATTTCAAATACAGCATGTGGGATGGCTCTTTGAATCTTCTGGAATCTGGGTGGACCTACTCCTTCCCTACTGTAACTGAAATACCCACACAATCAATTCATAGGTGGAAGATGTGCACAGTACTAAAATATACAAATGCTATGGACCAACAACCATGTCCTTCAGGAGAATGATAAGTAAAATGTGACATGGAAGTGTCCTGAGGTCCCAGCTAAGGTAAAAATGTACCTAGGCAGAGAGGAAGAGCCACCATGAGAGTTTGAAAGAACTGTGTGTACTGGTGAGATCACATACAACTTTGAAGTATTATCTCCTTCTTTGAGCCGTGAGTAATGGTAAAAGTATGGGCTCCAGAGTTAGCCCACCTGGTTTCCAATCTTATCTTTACACTTACCGCCTAAGTGCACATAGGCAAGTAAAACAGTATCTTTTGAGTCTCAGCTGCTTATCAGAAAAATAAGGCCAATATTAAGTAACCATGTCATAGACAGAAGGATGAAATAACATTATCTATGTATAAAGTTCTTGTACAACATTGGCCATAATAGTATACATTTATTTGATGTTCACCATTTTTATTTCTGATCGTGAGATCTTAAAATATAGACTGGCTCTCTGAAATTAATTCATCCAGAAAATGAATGCTAACAAAGAGTAAGAGGATACCCAAGCAGCCACTACAAAAAAGCAATACAACTACCCACTTTATCTCACCAGGTAACCTATATACACAGCATTCATATATTTTATCAGTTTAGCACGAAGCAGTCAGAAGCCAAAAAGAATCTGAACTGGTGAGAAAACCCAATATATCCAGACTCTCTAATCTCTCTCTTCAAACCCAACTTGAATTATGGAGCATGCAGAAAGAAATACTTTCCCGTCCTTAAATCACAGTGTCAATCCTTAACATTCCCCTAAACATCCTATTCAAATACAGCTCCCTTCAAATATGTATTTCTTATCTCCAGGATTTATAGATGTGGCTTTCGTTGCTGCATTTCACTTCTTAGAAAACTACATCATAAATAAGCAAATAAAAAGTACATGTCCCTGTATTTTTATTTTGGAAATTTGAGGCAAGCAAAAAAAAAAAAAAGAAAAAAAATCCAAACGGATACAATTATTTCCTCATGTGTGAAATTAGCAATCGCTCAAAGGAAGTGAAGCTAGGGCCAGAGGACTGGCTCAGATTTTTTTATTATCACAATATGGTTAGATAGTATGTATTTAAAAAAAAAAGTAGATATTGTTTATTTCAGAAACTCAGAAAGCTCTTGCATTTTGTGAATCCCAAATCCCTGTTCAATATTGTTTGATAAGCAACATACACTATCTTAGATTTGCTGTACAGACTCGTGATAAAGCAGCAGTTCTAGCCACTTGAGAAACTTTAGAGCTCTGCACTGGCTCTTTTGCTTGTTAGGCTGTACCTTCAGGGCCAAAGAGATACACCTCAGCTGGAATATGGTGCACCAAATAAGGAGTGCAATGCCTGCAAGCTTTCTCAAAATCCGTTTTCACAGGATTTTGAGAAAGCTTTGAGAAAAACCAGACTCAACCAGAATTTTTGTTTCAGTTGTTTAAGAGCAAGATGTGATCATCATCAATTCATGAGAATGACTTGATTTGTGCCTCCCTTTCCTTAAGAAAACTATTTCTGTTTTGTAAATAGAAAAGAAAACCCCAAATACTTATTTTGTTTTTCTATTTCAGTAGGCATTACTAACTACTTACACGCTTTTGAAGATTAACAGACCCTTTTTTCTCTTTTCAACTATATAGTGGCTAGATGTTCCTAAAATCAGAATGGCCTTTCGTCATCCTTCCTTCCCTTTTTTCCTTCTTTCTTTTCTTCCTATCACCTCTTTTCCACTTTCTCCACCCTTCTCTTTTCTACTGGGGTGTCCTTGCAGAGACAGAGAGCCGCCTGTGGTTTGGGGAGCTCTGTTTAAAAGAAAACAGAATTCTTTTTTGTTGCTAGTGGGAACAGGAGATCATTTTTTTTTTTTTCGCTTTCTTGCCAACGTTGAGCCTCTTAATTAAAAAAAAATAATAGTAATTTTCATGTGATGGCTCATTTATCACATGGGCGTTTGCATAGAAAAAGATCACTGGATGATGGAGAGGCCAGTAGAATTGCACTAGATTACTTTCAGTATGGAAGTGATTTTTCTTAGGGAGAGAGAGAGAGCTAATATTATTTATTTTTTGTCATTCCTGATAAAACAACAGCACCTTTTGCCATTGACAATGGACCTATCTAATCTTTTCTGTCTTGGGCTTCAAATGTAGACTGAGGTATCTTCCCTGAGGCTTTGGTCATTCCAATCATGCTCACCAGTAACTCCTTTAAAATACTTCCTCATTACTAACTTCCTATTTTACCTTCTATAGAGTCTTTGGATCCTTTATTTTTTTTCCAGTGTATGAATTATTTTAAAAATGAAATTTATTTATGGATCTATTTATTAACGAAAATTCCATCTTTACAGAGGTTTTCGCAAAATTATTTTGTATAGTTTTTTTTTTTTTCTTTTGGGTGGTGTTTTGCTGGGTGGTGTTTGCTGGGGATTGTACCTAGGGCCTCATGCATATTAGGCAAAAGCTTACCAGGGTGTCGATCCATCCATTCATCTATCCATCTCTCTTGATCAGTAACATGTTGTAAATAACCTTTTTTTTTGGTAATAATTATATAATTGCAATATGATTTCAAATGGCTGTATAGATTTATTGAAAGGATATACATTTAAAAGTATAGGTTGTTTTAAAATTTGCCTTTAAGGATCTACATTGTTTTAAAATTTTATCTTTATAAATTATGTGTTGATAACATTTCACTAATTTATGAACACTGAAATGAGCTAATGATCAGGCAGTAAAACTGAAGAGAACTCTTATTAATGTACATAAGGAAAACTTCCAGTTGCAATTTGAATTATAAAAATTCTGTCAGTGTTTTATTTCATCCCCTGAGAAATAGTTTAGACATGCATCTTTATAAAAATAATGTTTATAGATAATAACCATAAATGTCAGGAGGAGAGTAACTATTTTGATTTATTTTTGATGTCTTTGTTGATGTTGTTGTTTTGGGATTGGTTTTTGTTTGTTTGTTTTTGTTAACACTATGTAAAATAATTTGGAAAGAGCATAAAGTTGAAATTCACTGTCTAGTATAACCTGTCATTCCAGCCGGCTAGAGGAAGAAGGTCTTAGAGCATCTCTATACACCATGTGCCTTAGATTTCCTGAGAATACAATTCATCCATTCATTCAGCAAACATGTGTTAGTAACTTCCATGGACCAGGCATGGAACTAGATTTTGGAAAAATAGAGATGAATAACCCATGTTCTCTCTTTGAAGTTTTCATGGTCCACAAGGTGGGGTGGTGATTGCAGCTTGGGAAACTGTGGGCAACATCATTAAGAATGGGAAATTATGTTAGCTCAGGACCCAGGGTGCATCCTAATCTGAAAATTCTTATGACATTTTACTCAAGTCCTAAAATGATTTTTGGGTAGGCTAGAAGTCAACCTTTCATGTGAGAATTGTAATTAGAGAAAAACTAGAAGAAGAAGGCTGAGAGTGAAGACTAAGATCTAACTTCTCTACTTTTTACTCCTTCTTGAATGGGAGCCACCTTGGTGCCATCACCTAGAGAGGACACTGTTGCCAGGTGAAGCTAAAAAGTGAAATTCAGCAATTTGTGCACTGTGATGGCTGCAGGATTTGGTAGTACAAGACATTTTGGTTTGATCATCAGAGCCCTACACTGTACATCCATTCTTAGAGACATACGCAAAGAACAGAGAGAAATTCTGTTTAGAGGTTTGATCCAAGCTTCCAAAGTTTAATGTGCATAATATCACCTGGAGATTTTGTTGAAATGCAGATTTGCATTCATTAGGTCTGGGGTGGGGGCCGAGATTCGGCATTTCAGCATTTCTAAAACTCTTACAGGTAATGTCAACACTGCTGGTTTGTAGATCTCTCTTTGAGTAATGAGAACCTAAGATGTCTTTGTGCCCATGAAGGTTTGCCTTTTGTAACTTTGACTGTTTGTTTGCAGCTGTGGTGATGGTTCTAAATAGCATGAGTGTCAGCTGGAGTGCCCGGATCCAGATTTTCCTAACCTTTTGCAAGCTCACAGCAATTCTGATAATTATAGTCCCTGGAGTTATACAGCTAATTAAAGGTATGGACTGAAAAGTAAATGCTTTTTAAAATACGTATCTGCTTTTGATCTCTTCTAACACTAACTTTTGCTTGTACTAGCAGAATCCTTAATTAGTCTTTGCTCATGGAACTTAAACTCTAGACTGTCATCTAATTGATTTGAAAGGTTGCTACATTGGGGTGAGCTGGTATTTACTGTTGAATGGCAGCAAGAGGATTTGGGCCAAGCATTCAAACAGGGCATCAGTGAATTCTATTCATAAAAACTGGAGTGAAGATCCAAAGCAGGGGCGGGGGGAGGGGGGAATCTGCCAGTAACTTTAACTACAGATAAACGCATTCTTTCACTTTCACTTTAAAGTTGTTCAGTAGCAGGAATAAAGATTAAAGAGAAAGATTTTTGGAGAATAATGAAAAATATTTTATTTAATAATGAATATGAAAAATAATTTTATTATTTTTATTTTATTATTTTTATTATTTTCTGGTTATTATTTTTTCTATCTTCAGAGTGATATCCTCAGAAGAGGAGTCAGATATGTGAATGATATTCCTAAAAAACAAATATTTATGGGATGATCAAAACAGTTGTAAAAATTTAACTTCTATGGTTACATTATTTTTCATGTAAAACTTGCTTTAGTACAGACACATCATATTTTCTGGATATTATTTAATAAGAACAGAAGTTGAGGAGGGGATGTCATTTGGAGTTTTAGTGGTTTGGGGAGAGAAGTCACATGCCATTGCTTGAATTCAGCAGAAATGGTTGGCAGGGAAAGAGGTTATTTAATTGGCCATGGGCAACATAGTAGAAAATAACGGGAGAGAGAGAAGAAATTGTGAAGAGGTGACATATACCTTGGGCATGTTAAGTATTTAGTGTTTACACTGATATTGTTTTTCCAAGAAAGGGCATTCATAGAGAAGTTCCATGACGTTGCAGAAGAACCGCAGTAAGGCAAAGGGAAGTGCTAAATTCAGCCAAGTCATTGCTCTCTGTAGAGGCATCAAATAACAACAAATGTCGAAAGACTGGTCACTCTGCAGCTGGGAAAGGGAGCAGCTGCTGTCCACTGAATAAGCCTGGTGGGAGATCTTAGAGTCCTGCTGGCAAAATCCTTCCATCTTCTCCAGCAACCTCAATCAGCTCAGAACCACACACCACGCAGACGGAATCTTCTGAGGAGACCAGTTGAGCTTGCTCCGTTAATTTCACCTCGGCCTCCACAGAGCTGGCTTGCACATATTCTGTCTCGTTCCTTGGGAATAGTAGGCCAAATAGCCTGTTCTGTTCTCACTTTCTTCTTCTGTAATGAGTTCCTTCATGGCTTGGAAAGTACAGAAATCCCTGGTCACCAATCCTGGTTTAGTTCTGGTTTAGCTTCCTAGGTCAGATGGTCTACTAGATGGGACTCATTTTTTTTTTTTTCTTTTTCTCTTTGGTGAAATGTCAGGCATTGTAGGTAGCACTGTAGTCCTTAGTCAGTCTTGAACCCTTAATTATATACGTGTATGAAGTGGGGTTTGACTGACCAAATGTATTGCAGGTTCCTTGAGACCACGGGTCAAAATATAGCTCTTGGGGTGTTTCTGGCAATTACAATGGAGTGATATTCTCATTAATACTTATGGCATCAATGCTTCATATGACCAGGACTCTTCCTAGTTCTCAAACAGAGAAGTCATCTGTGAATATTATCACAAAGCAAATTTGAATATCGTGGAGAGCATTCTTAGCAGATACATTTTCTCTATTACTATAAAATTATAAAAAATCGTGTTTTTCTTTGTTTCTAAACCAATCACATATTTTTTCACTCCTCTGAGGCTGCAGGGGGAGAACGACTTGCCTGACACATATTGCACATTCATTTTTACTCTAATCAGATCCTGGAAATAACTGAATGTTGTGGATTCACTTATGAGGACTTGTTGATCTTTCTTTTGAATATTGTGACTTTCATCTTCCCGAGACCTCTGTGATGCAGCCCGAATATTCCTGAAGTTTAGAAATAAAATGCCTCTCTTTTGTAGCACTCACAAAATGGCACTTTTGAAGGCCTGTGCCTGGGTGTCAGCCTCCGCAGAGGTTTCTTCTTTTCATCTGGTCCTGCGCTCTTGGGTGTTGCTGTCCCTTCAGGCCCGTCATGGTAGAAGTATGCTCAGCAGATGCTTTTGTCTGAATTCCAGTATTTGTATTTTCTTTCTGTAAGGACACAGAGATGTCTTAGTTAAACAGGCATTTCTGATTCACTCTATCATTTAAAAAAAAAATAAGTTATATTTGGAAACTGGTTACTTTGAGGGGGAAAATAGCTTAGCATACAACTCTGCATTCTCTGTTTCGAGTCCCCAAACTCACTCACGGTGTGTCATCATAAACATCCTGTCTGGCAGTGCAAGCAACAGCTGAGATTTGGTTTGAAAGAGAATGTCTTCTACATCAACCATCTTCCAACCTACTTTTGTTTGTTTATATAAGGAGTTTTGACTTTGAAACAAAGTCATTTCCCATTTAGGTTATCTCATTTGCTATTTTTTTTTCTGCTAAAGTTTAAATATCAGCTCACTAAAATTAGTTTGAATTTATGATTTTTTTTTTGTGTGTGTGTGTGGTGCTGAGGATTGAACCCAGGGCCTTGTGCATGCAAAGCAAAGCAGTCTACCCACTGAGCTATATCCCTAGCCCTGAATTTCTGATTTCTGAACTACATAAAAGATTAACAAGAAAAGGATCCTCTGCAATTTTCAAATTTGGAAAAAAAAAGTGATGAACAAAAATCTTCTTGTTAATGCAAAATTTGTTAAAACATAGTTTAGAATTCAGTGTTTCTAAATGAAAACTGTGATGTTGGGACCATGTTAATGAACTTTCTCTTTAAAGAAGCAACTGGTAGGCAGGTGTGGTAGTGCACACCTATACCAGTTACTCAAGAGGTAGAGGCAGGAGGATCATAAGCTGAGGCCAGCCTCAGTAACTTAGGGACAGTTTGTCTCAACATAAAAAGCTTAATTCAGTGGTAAAATGCCCCTGAGTTCAACTCCCAGTACCTCTAATTAATAATAATTACAATAGTAATAAACAATAAGGACCCTCGAGGATATGCTTTCAATTTTGTGGGTAGCATAATCTCTGTGGCAATTACTCAATTCTGCTGTCATAGAGTGAAATAAGCCACAGATGATACACTTAAATGAGTGGGCATGGATGTACACCAATAAAACTTTATTTTAAAAAGAGGCTTGTAGGTTGGTGTGGCAGATTTGGTCTGCAGAGTTTCCAACCCCTGTTCCAGAGGCTGGTGTCTAATGGTCTGCATGGGACAAACAGGAAGTTAAAGACATGGGACAGCAACTCTGGAGTGTCTCCCTGCCTCCTCAGTGGAGGCACACCCTTGGATATTTCTTTGCATTTCTTCCCAAACATTAGAATCCTAAAAACCAAACTAGCCCACTCCTAAAAGCTACAGTTCACAGAAAATCCTTCCGTCTTCTTTCATGGTCCAAGTATGAGCTCTCTTAAACAAGGGCTGGTTTCTAAGATGTCATCCTGGCTATGACATGATTAGAAGAGAAACATGAAATTGTGTGGGTGGTGATCAATGTACCTGTGGGACTTGTTCTTTAGCTTGGGTACAGTATTAACAGGTAAAGTTGGCAACAAGTGGAGAGTGAGTGACTAGGTCTCTTTTCCCAGGGACGATGCTTAGAAGAAATAAAAACCAATTCTTTGTAAAGCTCTAAAGTCTTTCTATTCTAATTGCAGGGCAAACCCAACACTTTCAAGATGCCTTTTCAGGAAGAGATGCCAGTATTATGGGGTTGCCCCTGGCTTTTTATTACGGAATGTATGCCTATGCTGGCTGGTAAGTTGATCTCTCTGGATTTGAATGGTTTGTATGGCCCATTGATTCCTTCAGGTTCTTAGATTAAATGTCGAGCAGGGTGCCTGGCGAATGAGGGTGGCGGTGCTCCAGTGTTATATGGTACTTGAAATGAGAAGTCTGGCCGGTCCCCTGCACGAGGCCGGCTACCCTGCACATGGCTTAATGCAAAGCTGGTGTTGGAGGAGTGGAAAAGTGTGATGCTTCCCTTCAATGAGCTTGAGGACCATGGTCAACACACCTAGGACAGAAGACAGGTTAAGAGAAAGGCATGTCAAGTGACTTAACCAAAGTTGAAGACGACATGGGAGTGCTCAGAAATGAAGACCCCCAAACTCAGGGAAAACTGTCTATTGGTACCTGAGGTAATGGTAATAGATGGAGAGTGGAACCCAGGGAGCCCTGCCTGTCCATCCAGGTTCTTCGTGGAGTCTCCAAATAGCATCCCCTGCCCCTGCCCTCCCCAAGGGTTCAGAGAAGGAGCCCTTTGGAACAAGAGTCTTGTGTGATCTACTATGAGACAAAGTTGATCAGGGCATTTCTTTATGTCCAGCTCCTAAACAGAAAGGCAGAAGTTAGAGTAATTTTCTAGATCCTCTGGCTTGTCTGGGGGGAGGAGAGGAGCCTGGGATCCCCCTTGGAGAAAAGAATTGTCATTTTTATGGCTGGCCTTGGAAGGAAAGGAAACCCAAGAAAGAAGGGTGGGAAGAGGTCAGAGAGATCTTACTTCTGTGGCTGTTTGTTTCCTTCAGTTGAGAGCACTCAGCCTGCCAAGGCTCAGAGTTTCGGGTATTGTTTTCTAAGCCCCAACACCATCAAGGTCACTGCCAGATTTAGCCCAGTGTCACAAGAAACAAACAAATACTGGGTCTTAAGAGCCAGCATAAATCACTTATAATTATGTATCCGTGGGGACAGAACGGTGCCATTAGGTACTAAAGATTAGAACTTGGCTTGTCAAAAGGTCTTTCAGCTGAAGCTCCAAGGATATTTACAAATAGTGATTAATGAACTTTTTTCTACTTTCTCCTGAGAAAGAAAAAAAATTCTGATACAGAAATAAATGAGGCATTCCCAGGAGGTTACAAAATGGTTTCCTAAAGGCAGGAAGGGAGAAACCAAGACAATAAAATCATCTGTACCAGAACATGTGTAACATTTTAGTGGACCCTAGAAATTCATCAGAATGTCCCCAACATCTGAAAATAAAAGTATGCTACAAAGATGATTAAAGTCATGTTGCCGCAGATAGCAGATATGATTCCTTTGATTGGGGCATTGGATAACAATACTCATGAATCAGTATGGAACTTTCCCTAACTAAATTTTATTTATCTAGTAAGCTTTAATTGAAATGGCAGTTTTAAGAAAGCCCTGTAGGCACCCCCCACCAAAAAAAAAAAAAACACAAAACAAACATTTAAACATCCAAAACAGTGTGGTAAGATTAACTTTCATTGTTTTGGAGTAGATCATGGCACCATTTTGTTTACTTATTTATAACACTAAGAGACAACTTTAGCTATAAGAACGTTCTAGGACCTACAAAATAATACCAGGAAACTTCACTAGCTCAAAAATTAAGTAAACACATTTCAAACACAAATATAACTTCCTTTTGTTTCTTTAAGCTTTTAGGCTCCTAACTTGCATCAAATGCAGGGAAATATAAAGGTATTTCAAAATAAATGTACCTACTAATCTCACTGAATTATGAAAACATGGCATTAGAGGAAAAGGAAGAGCGTATAGCGACTTAAGACTTGAGCATGGCTTTGAAGCAAAATATGATTGAAGGTTGTTTGAAGATTGTAGCTCGGAGACCAGTGTGAAAATATTTGTATATTCCCAGAATATTTTTACAGTCATTGTGTGTAAGCATTAATCACTCAGTGTTTTTGAAGTCCTTTTACATTTGTCCAAAGCACAATGTGGTGCTAGGCAGAGAAAAGAACCGAGTGTGATCACAGGGTTAGAGGCTGAATCGACTCTCCCCTGTCTATTCAGCCTCAGTGAGAGCTAGTGGCCTGGGGCAGCCGCCACGCTACTCTGAGGGTCTCTGGAAGCCTCAGCGTGGAGTGGGGAGCTGGCAAAAGCTTTCAGCCTCAGCCAGGCGCCGGGAGCCTGGTGGTACTCTGTCAGGAATGTGGAATGTGGAGATCATCACCAGAGAGATTTGATTAATTCTGTTGAATGGAGGTCTCTTGCCTGTGAGTCCCCTGCATCTGTTCCCACGGAATCTTAAAAGACTTCTCTCCTCACTCCTCCACCACCCGGCTCAATATTCTGGTCACCTGCTTTATGTGGTGCCAGGTCCCTCCACTTCTGAGGCTTTTGAGGGCCAACAGATTTGTCCATGTATAAAGAGTCTTTTCATTTCTAATTATCTGATTAATATTGAATTTTGTTGATGCCAAACCCCAAATATGACTCTGTTTACAGGATGGAAGTGTTTTCTGAAAAGCTTTATACTCTCATCAGAGAATCCTTATGTCTACTCCCTATTTGAAAGAGGAAGAAGCTCCCAATTTTCCTCATATTCTTGAGGGTTCAATCACAGTGTTGGAAAATAAGTCCAGGATTTCAATGTAGGAGACAGAGTGACCGTGCTTCTGTAATGGGTGGCTACACCATCTGAACCCTGCTTTCGGGAGAGGGTAGAAGTGCTCTGATGGCTGATGTACAGCTAACAGTCTGAGAAAAAAAGGATGCTGTGTTTAGGAAAATAGTCTATTGGTTTGGAATTCTAGAAGAAAAGTAACTATCAAATGCAAGTGGAGAAGACAGAGGCTAAAAAAATTCCCAAATAGAGAGGCATTGATTCACTTTCTAAATGTGAGTCCTACCATATGACAGCTCCATCTTTCCTGATGTGGCTCGACATGCGAGTCTTAAACGACTCAGACATAGAATCGTAAATAGGGGACCATAAATGAGCCACTTCCTATATTGCTGCTGGGACAATGTTTAACCAAAAAAAAAAAAAAAAAAAAAAAAAAAAGGAGGCATTGCAGATGAGGCAGACAGAAGCAAAGCATCTATTATCACCAGGGTTAGTGGCCAGCTTCTTAGCCTGTCCGGAAAAGCAGCAAGACCACTGTTGTCCTGGGGACCTTGCTTGGCTCTGAGCAGTTGAATAGGAAAAAGACGCCTCGGAACCTTGGAGAACCTGAATAGAATCACCTTTGGGCTCTGAGGAGCACAGAACCTTTCCAGAATGATGAAAACTTCTTCACAGAAACATGATTAGGGGAAAAGAAATCATTAACCCAGCGAGGTCACAGAGTTGGGTCAGAACAACTTTAATACGGTTGCCAATATCTGCATTCAGAGAAACACATCTGCCAGTCCCCCTGTGGCTCTGGGGAACCAAACCAATTTCAATCCCATATCTTGATCCAAAGTTAAATATTGCTTGGTGGGATTTTTTTTTTTTTTCCTAAACCGTGAGCCAGAAAGTAGTTTTTCAGTTGTCTTTTTTTCCTCCCTTTTAAAGCTTATCCTCAATGGACTTAGACTTTCTAAAGCACCTGCTGGGATTATTTTGTACCATTGTGTCAAATCTAATCTACAGAATAAGCTTCTTTTAAAAATAATTCACATGGTTGGGTATTGGAATGTGCTGCTGGCATTACAGAGCCTTTTATGCACAATCATGGAAAAGCTGAACAATAGATTCTGTGAGCATCTCTGGGGGCTTTGAGGAGATGGAATGCCCAAGAATTCTGTGGACTCAGGGCTGGAGATCACAGAGCATAAAGGCCTATTTCCCACAGGATGTGATGTTTGGACTAAAATAAGAAGCGTTCTCCTTCTTTTCCTCCACTCCCTGCCCCAGATCTTTCCTCCTTTCCCTTCTCCTGCCCTCTCCTCCTCTCTGCTGTTCTCTGGAATCATGGAAAACATTTGAAGTTAAATTCTTTCTTCATAACTGTTTCCCCTTCTTGCTTTAATATTGTTGGAAAAGACTCGTCTCTAAAGCAACCTTTAAGAAGAAACTGGCCATCTTTGACATAAGAAATCTAGAAACAGTTCTTCATGTGTGATTTTTTTTTCATTTTCTTCCTGTACTTCCTATTGCCTGAGGCTTATAACAAGCACATCAAATCTCTCTCAGAGAACATATTCCAGATATATGCACTGACTGTTGCTCGCTTTCCTAGTATAATGACAACCTCTATTTTTAGAAATTTAACTTTCTAGTCATTAAAAAAATGTCTTGGCTACTGACCTTTTATATCGCCTTTATCGCTACTCTTCTCTCAGTGTTTCAAACAGAACTACTTAAAGCCTAGTCCTTCCAATTGCTGGCAGCTTCACCTTGAACGTCAACTCCTACTTGAGAATTTAGATAAGGTTTCCATGAAGATGGAGCAAGACAGGTTTCCTCTTCTTTCTTTTAGGCTGTGAGGTAAGCACATTAGCTGATGGGCTAATATTCCAGCCATCAATTTTAGAATGTAGAGAATTTGTACATCAAGAGCTGTGCTCCTGGGTACCCATGTAAAAAGTTATTTTTAACCTGCTGCAAAATAAGATATCAGGAGTAGGTTGAAAACATGATTTCCTAGTTAAATGAAGAGATAGCGAGTTCTTTGTTTGTTTAGTTCTTTTTCTTTTCTTAATGGTCCCTTAGTTTTCCCATTTCCATGGTCTAGTCGTCTACCATGCTTACTTCATGATGGAATCGGCCTCAGCCTTACATTGTGAAAACCAAATAAAGAACTATGAGGGCTTTAAAGGCTGGCTAGCAGTCAGTTCAGATTACAAAACAAACTCCAGGATTCGAATGCTAGACAATCCCATATGGGATTGAGGGAGTCATAGAGTGAAGGAAATTTCCCCAGGGCCCTGACATTTGGGTAATACTTGCAATCCTGTGGAGCTTGAAAGGAACCTACTGTATGCCCAGAATATTTCTTCTCACGGAAAAAGACCCAGAAAGTGTTGTGGATTTAAAAATGTACAAAATCTCCTGCTCTTTAGTTGGTGATTTATGGTGCAAAGACTATGGATGTGCCTGAAATTAACAGGCCTATGTGGAAAAAAATGAGAACAGTCCTGCGACGTGAGGTTATTTGGGACATATTAACCTGAAAGGAAGATGTGTGAATTGAGGATTTATCACATTTTTATTTTTTAATTACAAATCGACAATTAGAGTTGTATATATTTATGGGCTATAAAGTGATGTTATTATTTATGAATACTATGTGGAATAATTAAATGGAGCATATTGACATATTCATCACCTCAAATATTATTTTTGTGGTAGAACATTTGAAATTTACCGGCCCCCCCGCCCCCCCCCCGAAGTTTTGAAATGTATATTATTCTACCATTTGTGGTTCCAACTTGTACACTGTGTTTCTGTCTAGGAAGTCAATAACAGTTCCCTAAATCTAGAAATGCTACTATCTTATAGCAATGTAAGTTTTGATATATGTCTCCCCTTCTGAATTTGGAGGGGGCAAAGGCCGTCTTATAAGTTCTCTTCCCATTTCCTCTGCCGCACAAGAACTGCAGAATACTAGACTGTTGCTCCTGTCATTGGGCATAACCACCCTGACACATTTCTGTACTCAGCCAGGAAGACCTCACGCCTCCTCACCAGGGCTACCACCCAGGGGTGTTAACCACTGAGCCACACCCCCAACCCTTTTTATTTTTAATTTTGAGACAGAGTCTTGCTAAGATGCTTAGGGCCTTGCTAAATTGATGAGGCTGGTTTTGCACTTGGGATCCTCCTGCCTCACCTCTGGAGTCACTGGGATTACAGGTGTGCACCGTTGCACCCAGCCTAAATGTTAAGAGTTCTTGAAGCTCAGGTTGGGGGATGCGTCCTCTAAAAATCTCCCTTTGACCTCCCAGGCTGGGCTTAACTCCACCCCTGGCTCCCATGTGCTTGCACTGCAGAGAAACTACGGAATTTTCCACTCTCAGATCCCTACTGCTAAAGTTAGATGCACTTCACGTGTGGCTTATAGAAAAAATAATCTATGGGTTTTTGTTGCTAGATATTTTCATCATACTATAAGTATTTTTAATGAAGTTTTCATAATCTGTGTTCAATTTTAAATATTTAAAATGTGAAACTTTGGATTACAGTGGTAAAATATATTAATAGTTGCTAATTTGTATGCTTTTAGGTTTTACCTCAATTTTGTTACTGAAGAAGTAGACAACCCTGAAAAGTAAGTAGCCATATTTACTCTGAAATTTTTATGAGGAATAAAATGTAAGATTACCTAGTTGAAAAAGCAGAGCCAAAGAGAGAGTTTAGTGGGGGCCAGTTACCACGATCATCTTCACCACCAATGTCATTGACATTATCTTAGGCACATACAATTTATTTGATTTTATCATAAATTATGTGTAAATAACTTAATTATAAATTATATATCCAATACTATTTCCTTATAACCTAAAAAAGAATAGAGTTGTATCTTAGTAACCTGTCTTACATAAACACATACAATGAACTTGATATTAACTCTCAGACGCAAGTGTAGCTTGAGCTCAAAAAGTTCTTATTTCTAGTAATACATGTTCTTTTTTTCATAACTATTTGATTAAATAAAATAATGTAATTAATGGAAAAGAGTTATAAAAGCATGAAAATACATGTAGCATATCATAGGAACTTGTGAATTTGGAGACCTGAGTCATTATTTTACCTTTTCTTTCTAAATAACAATGTGATGATTGGATGATTGAATGGTGATTTACATAATGTTTCTAACACAGGCTAAGAAATATGAATTAATATTATGTTTTGTGCATAAACATTTGACTTTGTACAGAAAAACAACGTGCAAATTTATGGGGAAAAGAGGGAAAATTTAATAAGCAGAATGCAAAATATAAACTCTAAAGTTATTTAATTTCATCTTACTTTTATTCAATACCTGCTGTGCTCCAACCATGTTGAGGCATCTTCCATGATAAATGAGGTTTGTCTCTGAAGATTTTATTTTCTATTTAATGAATCAAAGCTGTAAACAAGTAAAGGTAGCAGTGTGGTTGATACCATAGTAGGGTACTTCTTCGGTGTGGCAGAGAAGAAAGGAGCAAGTACTTGACCCTATCTGGAGGGATGCTGCTAATGCAGAGTCTTGAATGAATTAGTAAGAGTTTCCCATGTAACTAATGAGAAAGAGAAGGGGGTAGAGGTTGCTTGACTTCTAGGAAAAGGAGCAAGTACAAAGGCAGGTCCGCATGAAATAACCTGGACATCAGAGAAGATGCCTAAGGGTCAATGCAGATAAGATGGACCAAGGAATTCTGGCACCTGGTGTATTGGGAGGTAGTAAACTGTTGGGAGATGGCTGTCAGGAGGTAGATCTGGCCAGGTGAAGGATGTCAGACACAGCCAGCAATGAATGCTAACAGGATGCTTCAATATGATTGGCTCAACTGTTGTGCAAACCAATATGTAATATAATTGTGGAGAAAGCTACTTTATTCAGACATGTGACCAACTTATTATAGTATTGTCATATTTATAACTGGAATTGAAGGCAGAGAACACACTATTTACCAGGAACCCGTTTTAACATTACCTGGAAATGATAAACTAACTTATGACAATAAAATCTAATGTTTACAGAAAAAAATAGGTGAAGTACTTGAGAATTATTAGTATATAAGTGGAGACACAGAGAAAAGACTGCTCTTAACTAGATTTTACATAAAATATTTATTAGATTTCCCGTATGTGAAAGAAATAACTGTATTAGGACTGTGACTTTTGAATCTGAAAACATTTTAAAGAGACGCACTTCTAAAATCTAATGTAAGGGAATATTTATTATGGAAAAACATGGCAAATTGTAGGTTTATAGACCTACAACATAACATTTATTACAACAGTACTTCAGAGATGTAGTTCAAATTCTTTTTTAGTGTTACTTTAATTTTATTTGCCATGTATACATTACTAATGTGTACATCAAGTATATTTTTAAACTCTCTCTGCCATTATTATTATCTGAATTTTGGATATATTCTATCAGAGTGCCTTGCCAGTCAAGAATTCTCTTTAATTCTTATCTTCCTTAATTTAATTTCATTTCTTAGTTTCTCACACTGATAATGTCCATGATTCAATGTATACAAATACTAAGGAATAGTGATAGTGATGTGATTCAGTGTTTTGTTTTGTTTTTCTGTTGCAAAGAAATTTTCTTATCTCAAAAAACAGAACAACAGCACGTACCTCTCTGGTTGTGTTGGTAAGTCAATATGTATCAAGTACTTAGATTATCGACTGTCACTTTTTCTCTACATTATTCTTTTTACTACTGTTACTGATATATTCTTATTTTAGAGAAAGGTAAACTGTTATTCAGATAATAGTATTATCTAAGTTTCAGTATTCTAAGAAAACATTTTTCTTTAGTGGTTTTGAAAGAAATATGAAAAATTATTGCATATCATATTGAAACCTATACACTACATTTTCAGTACTGAAGTTGACTATGCGTTTCCTGATCTCTCTGACTCTTGGGTACAGATTTCATTAGCATTTTTATATTTAGAGAAAACAAGCCTACCTTTTAAAAGGAAAAACATGAGCTATATGAGTTTTATAAAAATGTAAACCTAACAGTAAAAGCAGAGTTTATTACTTGTGATTATATTAGATGAGATATTATCAACTTCTGGAAATTTTCATTTTTACAAACTTCATGAAATTTATCTAGAACCCTTTAAATTTATATACTTTCTTAAGGTCTTAAGCTAAGGGACTTTGGGGGGAGAGGGAAGAATCTCAGTTTTGAGGTCAATGTAATGAGCAACAGAGAAACAGCTTGAAGAGAGAAGCCTTTGACTTTTCATTCTTTCACATTTGAAAACCCAAATAGTTAGTTCCTACATGAAATATTTTGTGTAAAACTTAGCTGACACATTTATTTTCTCAAAATTAAAATATAGGAAATGCACAGAATCTCCTTAGTATACAGTCAAGGTTGATGTTGTGTTATGTATTTATCAACCAAACTAACTCAGGGTTTGAGCATTTGCATTAGTCTTAATTTTGAAAATGACATCTCCTGACAATGTTAATGATCAGTTTAGGTCTTTAAAAACTGAATTTTATTTTTAAAACACAGAAAATACTTGGGGAGACATTTAGGGTAGACTGTTAAGAACAGATGGTACAATCATGTGGAGCTAGTCCAGATGCGTAATTTGTATTATTTTGTAGGTAGATATGGCTCCAAAATACCTTTAGTAACGAGGGAGAATAATTACAATCCCATCTCCTTTGTGACGTGCCAAGATAAATGTGTTTCCCCATCAGTCACGAGCCTGCATTTCCAGGTGTGCTGCGACTTGCAACTTTCTGGCAGCTGGTGTAATGAATCATCAGCCAACGATACAACACCTTTCACTATCCTCCTCCATGGAGGCCATAAAATCTCCCCCAAATCGTGACCTAATGGAAAAGGTGGTAATTAATTTAGGTTGGTGAAAATAGCAATGTGATTTAAAATACATAGAATGCAGAGTCAAGTTTCATAATCTTGATCGACTACCCTGTACATGTAATTTCATTTTGAGAAATCTTTCAAATTACCTAACATTACTCTATAAAACAATTTCCAAGTTGCTGTTAAAAACTTGCCCTCAGTGTTGTAACAAGAGAGAGAGAGGAACTTGGATAAGAATCTCTGTTCATGTGATTACATTTATAACATTGAGACGTTTTCCCAGGCCTTAAAATATTTTTTTTTTCTCCAAAAGAAGCTTTGGATTTATGGAAATAGCAATCTTTCAAGTATAATAATCGCCATTGAACTTTTATAATAACATAAGGATATTGCCTTTAATAATTATCTATAGCATGGTGACTGTCTCCACATTTGAATGTATTAGAATAAGATTAGTATTTTGAAGGATATGAATGTCTAAAGTTTATAACGTGAAGGTCATAGAATCCCAAGGAATATCTAAATTTAAAAAATGCCATTGTTTCTCCAAATGGCATGTATAGTAATAATGACTGAATATATACTTTAAAAAATTAACAGTGTTTTTGCAAATATATTGAGTTTTGCCTTATGACATTTTCTTTGAATATACAACCCATTATTTGAAAAGTTATACAGTGCAAAGAACATATAATTAAGATGTATGTTTATAGTCCCGTTCTTAGATTGATAAATCATGTCTTGTGTTGATGAAAGCTAAGAAATGAATTGCTTTGCTTTGACCTTGGGGGTCTGAGATTAGTCAGTCTGTCTATTAGACTTGTTCCCCGTGTTCTTCTCACTTCATTTATTCCTTCTGTTCTGAAGACTTGGAAATAGTAGACTTAGAGGAAGTCAGTAAAGCTTGATATCATCAGTCATTTTTGAAGAGCAGGCTATCAACATGCTCTGAATAATCAACTTTAATAGAAGGTTTAAATAATCAGAGTGTCATGTTTAATTAATACTTTGCCTGCTTCCAATTTATATTAATTGATGCCTCAAAGTCATCACACCTTGTACCAGTGATAACTTAGAAAAAGAGAAACTTGGTTGGGAAAAACACTTAGGAGACCTTTAAGGCAGTGTGAGAGGTCAGATTGAACCAAGTGGTCCCAAAACAATCTTCTAGTTTGCATTCATTTCAGACGTCCCAGTCTTAAGAGTTTTAGTGTATTTGTTTTCATTCCTTATTGACTCTTTAATTCCTTATTACACTGCTTTATATGGCTTATAAATAACAGGCAATATAAAACTGTTACTTGTAGGCCATATAAAACTGTTAACCTGATTAAAAACACAGCAAAACAAAACAAAAATCTGCCTAAATGTGTTGTAGCCAAGGTGCATGACAGAAGGCTAATGATTGATTTGAAGTCCTTCTGTCTTATATTTTGTTATTTTTTAAAAGCTGCAGTTTTCTATGAGACAAATCTTAATAGGTTTAAACTTGCTAGAAAATAATCTATAATGTTTTGACAACTTGTGTGTGGATTATAGTAAAATTCTGTGATTTTTGTTGTTGTTGTTGTTGTTAATGTTGTTACAAGGTTATGTGGTCTGCATTCTTAGAATATTTCCAAAGTTTCTACTACAAATCCTCAGGTGATACATGTTCTAAAGTTATGTAAACTAATTTTCAAAAAAGTTACATCACTGAGAATAAATGCATATAGAAAGATCTGGATTATTAAACAGATTTAATTTGTAGATGTATT